GGACTGGGTCTACTTCTGGACCTTGGCCTACTCCTGGACCTTGGTCTGTTCCTGGACCTTGGCCTGCTCCTGGGACTGGGCCTGCTCCTGGGACTGGGCCTGCTCTTGGACCTTGGCCTGGGACTGGGCCTTGGCCTGCTCCTGGAGCTGAGCCTGCTCCTGGGACTGGGCCTGGGACTGGGCCTGCTTCTAGGTCTGAATCTGGGCCTGCTCGTGGGCCTGGGCCTGGGCCTGGGCCAGGGCTGGAGCCTGAAACCATGCCTGCAGTGGGGCCTGGTGTGACACCTGGGTTCATGCCAGCAGTTTTGCCTGTAGTTGGACCCAGACCTCAACCTGCCCCAGGAGCTTGGCCCATACCACCAGGAGGCAGGCCTGGAGCTGGCACTTGGCCTTTGTTTGACTTTTTCCAGCCTGGCCCAGGTCCATCAGACTCCCAGCAGCCCCCCAGGGCCCCACCCCCAGCCACAGAGTTGGGATCATCGTGGCCTCTTCCACTGCAGCTACACCAGACTCTTGAGGCCCCAGAGCTCCCAGCTGTGGAAGAAAAGGGGGATGAATATTACCCTTACCTCATGGTAGACTCTCTGGCTGGGCCTTCCCCAGGTGAAGCCACCAAGGATCAGGGTCCCACGGCTAGGGCCTCGGAAGCACACCTGAAGGGTCCCCAGAATGCCCTTGAGCAATTGAAAACCACTGTTGCTGCTGCTGCTGCAGCTGCTGCAAACTACGCTGCGGCTGCCAACTCAGCTGCCCAGACAGCCAAGGCTGCTGCCAAGGCGATCACCGATGCCCCTGCCAGCAAACTGGCTACTAAAACCGCCATTGCGGCTGCCTCCGGGCCCTTTGGGACCCGTTCAGATGTCTCGGGTGCAGGGCCTTCCCGCGGGGCCTCTGAACCTACGACCTTGGATCAGGAGAGCAAGCAGCTACAAGACTCGGTGGTAGATTATGAAGAATTGGCTCCCCAGTTCCCCACCAAGGACATTCCTCCCACCAAAACCCTGTCACAGGCCATGCAGGCTGCCAAGAAGGCAAGGAGCACCCAGGACAAGAAGGCGGCGGTCAAGCGCTCCATGGGCCACATAGCCCAAGTGCCTGATAGACATGACTCCCTGAGGGAAGAGTTTGCCCAGCTGTCAGACAACCTGCAGCAGCAGCTGGCTTACCTAGGTAGGAGGGTAGCAGGGGCTCAGGCCCTTCCTGCAGCCTGCGTCCTTCCTGGGGCTCCCCCAGTGACATCGGTATCAGCTGTCAGCTATCATCCCTTTGACATAAGTGTCTTACTTGCGATTCTTTTACCAGGAATGTACAGTGAGGCACTATCTCGGGAGGGAGGGACTCTTAGGATCTAAAGTTGGCACGTAAAGAGGAAAATTGCTCCTGAAATTCCAACTTTCTTTGCTTTTTTCCTTTTTTTTTTTTTTTTTTTTTGGCAGGGGGCGGGAGTGGTACTAGCAGTGGGACCCAGGGCCTCACTCCTGCTGGGCAAGCACTCTGACACCGAGCCAGATCCCAGACTGAGAGTGTGGCACTTCTGCTATGTTCCCAGTGGATGCTGCTGCTGCTGGGAGCCCACTTAGATCCCCGGCTCTGCACACTGAGACGTACAGTGACTGCGATCACTAAAGTCACGTCCCTGTCTGGCACCTCTGATGGGCACTGCTCTTCCACAGACCTTAGGGGGAAAGTGGAACTTCATGTAGCTAAAAAGAACCCTATTGATACCTGTCAACGCTAGGATGGCTGAGATTAGGAGGGTGGTAAACAAGCAGTACCAGCCCAAGCTCTCCTCCTGGCCAGCGGCCGTGTCCCGCTCCTGTTATTTCCATGGATCTGGCCTCTCTGGCTGCTTGTCCATACTGCATGTAGGCCACTTGGTAAAAATTTCACTATCTCCCCTTCTATTAATCTTGGTATAATACATTTCATAGACTCTCATAAATATCAGGGCTGGGACTATGGCCTAGCCCTGGCCTAGCACACACAAGGCACTGGACTCCATCCCCAGCAATGCCCCCCCCCCCAAAAAAAATAAATAAATAAAGGGCTTCATGGTTTTGAAGTACTTCACAGTATTGAGGGTATAGCTCAGTGGTAGTGTATCCTAAGCGAGTGCAAGCCCTTGTGCAATCCTCAGTACCCTCCCAGGAAAACTGAATTACATATTTAAAAGAGCTTATTGGGATATATAGGTTAAATAAAACATTTTATTAAAAGGAATCCCACCTGTTCTTTTTAGAGTTTTTAAAAATGTGTCCACTAGCCAGGTATAGTGGCACACACCTATAACCCCAGTGACTCAGAAGAAGACTGAGACAGGAGGGATCGCGAGTTCCAGGCAGTCCCAGCAACTTTGCAAAACCCTGTCCAAAAAAAAAAAAGATGCTGGAGCTGTAGCTCTGGGGCAGAGTAGCCCTGGGTTCGGTCTCCAGCATCACACACTGGTGCGTGCACACACTCATAACAGTGTGACTGTGGAAGACCCAGTGGACCCTCGAGGCCCTGTCTGGGCACATTTTTGTGGGCAGCCCCTGCCGTAGGGGCCTGGGAAGAGCAGGTATTTGGAGCTCCCTCCCTGCCCCACAGTCACTCCCTCTTTTGCTTTCAGTGCAAGCAGGAGGCTTTTCCAAGCTTGAGGCAGCCGTGGACATACTGCAGGACAAGATAAATAACATCCAGAAGTCCAGGCTAAAGGTCAGTATCCCTCTCAGGAAGGAGTTTTTGAGACGACGAGGGCTGGAGGCAAGCAGGAGGCGGACTGCCCCCCGTACCCCTCCTGGGTGGAGCATCTGCCCGCCAGCTGCCAGGTGGCCTGGGAGCGCAGCAGTGCCAAGGATGCGGCTAGGGTGGGTCCAGGGCGGGTGGCTGCGGATCCCTTCCAAGGAGTCCCATGCGGCTGTTCCACACTGTCCAGAACGCACAGGTCAGGCACCTTCTTCCTGGCCTCAGGCCTCCTCCAGCCACGGCAGCCTCAAAAGCCGTCTGTGTCTCCCTTGTTTAGGAAGAGGAACTTGAGAGAGTTTGGGGCACCCAAATAGAGTCCATGAAGAATCACTACGTCGTGCTGGACCGCTTGGTGGGAAAGCTCCAGGCTCGTGTGGATGAGTTCAAGGTTTGGAGGCCTGGGGTCCCCGAAGGGCAGGCCAGGGGAGAGCTCCTCCCCGGGCCTTCACCGCTCCCTGTGGTTTTACAGAAGGGGGTGCACTGAAGCCTGGGGAGCCAGGGGACATTTTACTGTGTGTAACTTACACTTTAATTAAGAATAAATCCCACACACATACACAGAAGGGCCTGAGCAGTGCCCATCTGTGGCCTCTGTATCAACAGAGTGAGGCTCTGTGACATCTGCTGAATGAGTCAGCAGGATGAGAATTTCTGGCCCCAGCAGTTACACTCATGGCGTTTGCCCCAAGTCAGCCCACTCTGGGGGAGCGAGCTTCTCTGAACTCTCAGCTCTGCAGCCTTTCTGGAACACCAGGGTAGCCAAGTTGCCAGGCTGGCCTCAACTTGAGATCCTCCTGCCTCAGCCTCCTGAGTCACTGGGATTACAGGTGTATGTCATCGTGACTGGCCCCATGGGGACTTCTAAGTGCAGGGCAGAGGGCTTTTGGTAGAACTTACAGGATGTAAAAACAAGGGGGGGTGGGGGCAAAGCAAACCCCTGGCACTGTGATCACTCTCCATGTCATTACTGTGTCACCCGTTGGGGCATGTAGGGGACTCTGCAGGGAAGAGAAGTCATTGCAAAGGGACTGACGCATTGCCTAAGGCAGGGGCTGGAAGGGAGAGCTCGCTATCTTCCGAGGGTCTGTGTGTGGATGGAGGATTTGCAGGGCCGCGTGCTCGGGCTTCTGTGAGCAGCACTGACCAGGAGCCACGTGGTCCTCTGCCAACTCGGGGCTCTCTGTTAGCCTCTGATCTTCAGCGAGGCCTGGGTCACCATGTCGTGGGGCCCCTCCTCTGTGGACTAGAGCGAACTGACCTCAGCTCCAGGCCAGGCCCTGCATAGGGGGAAGAGGGGTGTAGTAGCTGTCACTCAGGGAAGAAGCAGCCAGCCGAGGCCCACCAAACGGCACGAGGCGGAGCACACAGGGCCTTGTCCTGTCCTCCTTCCTGCTCTCATGCCATCAGGATATGATTGCCCATAAAAGTCACCTGGGAGGAACCTGAAACAGGACTTTCGTCCAGCACGTAACTCCTGCAGCCTGTGCTCAACACCCCGTGAATGAACACAGGCTGCAGGGCATCAGCAGGGCTGTCCGGCCTCCCGCAGAGACCCAGGGAGGCCGTGCTCATGCTGCAGACCCGTCTGCAGGAAGAAGTGCCACTGCCCTGCTTTCCCCGGTGTCTGCAGAAACGTGATGGACACGACAGGGGTCTTGAGAAACTCGGATCCTACTGTGATGAGGTCTTAGCAGACACTGCTTTGTGTGCTGGGCTCTTGTGTCGTCACCGGAGATGCTTTCAGGCAAGAAGCCAGGCTTGTGAGAGTATAGCAGTGTTTATTAGCGGAGGGGGAGCACCCTCAAGGAGATAGCGGGTCCTCCCAGAGGAGGGGCAGCTCACATCTTTGTGTCCCGGCTTTTATTGGTTATTGTTCGGGTGGGAACTGTGCCCCAAAATCTCTCCTGTGAGACCGTGCAAGAGGGTTCACGTGATGAGAGCTTGGACCTCGCAGGGTCTGAATCTCCTGATGGGGATTAACTGGGCGGTGACTCCAGGCAGGCAAGGCGTGGCTACAGGAGCTGGTCACTGGGGCACGGCCTTGGGTTTATATTTTGTCTGGGGGTGGGGGGGAGCGCTCTCTTTCTGCTTTCTGATGTGATGTCCTGGGCCCCTTTCCTCCACCACACTCTGCCCCCAGGATGTTCCGCCTCACTGGAGCCATAAGGACTAGAAATGGCCATCTATAGATGGAGACCTCTGAAACTGTGAGCTCCAAATCAACTTTTCCTCCTCTAATTGGTCTTGTCAGGTCTTTTGATCACAGCAGTGGAAAAGCTGATGAAAACAATTGGGGAAAGAGGTAGACTGTTGGAAGATCTCCACCAAGTGTCCCCTTGGCTCTGGATTGACAAGCTACCCTAGCTAGCAACCTGTGGGCAGCCCTTGCTGTCTTGGCCTGGCTGGCGGGTCCTAATTGAAAATGGCTTTATAACTAGAAGTTATGGGGCCCGTGGGCTCTGGTCTTGTTCATTCTGCTCTCCTACGTCCGGGAATCTCTGGTCTTTTGCATAGTGTCTTGCTTAAGGAGTCTTGGCAATTAGACTGTCCAGCAAACATACCTTCGTCCTCTCCGGAACTTACCATTTTCTACCTGTTGTTAGAGGAGCTGATTATCTGGCTGAGATCAGGCAGGGGTCTTGACACAGCTGCTTCGTGAGACCTTGAGGCCCCACTGAGGCAGGGCTGGTCATAACCGATACGCTCCATGCTACTTTCTTAAACTCCTAATTAACTACCACCTAACACTCCTAGTCATTTATCTTTGCTCAGCAAACGTTATTGAGTGTTCTCTCTGCACTGGGCATGCTCTAGGGGCTGGGACACAGCTGCCAACACCACAGACGCTGGCCTGTCCCTCCTGTTTGTGCCTGGGGTGGTGGCAGGATTCGTTTTCAACTGCAGCGTGATTTACATGCCTAAATCTTAAGTATGAGAGCTGAGGTCATTCTTATCTGATCACAGTCCAGTCAAAATGGAGACATCTCCATGGTCCTAGAAAGTTCCCTTTCCCAGGGGAACACCCATTGTCCAGAGCTAGCCACTGTTCTGTCTTCCATCGCCCTAGGTTAGTTTTGCCTGCTTTTGGACTTCACATAAATGGGACCATACCGTGTGTGCTTAAGTGCGACTGTGCTCCACTGGAGTGTCTGGAGAGGTTGTCTTTGCGGAGGAAAGACCCTTGTAAACCACAGGGGTCCCAGTGACTTGGGAGGCTGAGGCAAGAGGATTGCAAGCACGTTCAAGGCCAGCCTCAACAACTTAGTGAGACCCTGTCTCAAAATAAAAAGTGCTGGGGGTGTAGCTCAGTGGAAGAGCACCCACAGATCCACTCCTCAGTGCTGCAATCAAAAAAAGAAAAAAAGAGAGAAAAAGACCTGTCAAACCATTTCCAAGGTAGCATGCCACTTTTCACTCCCCACAATTGTGCACATCCTCCTCAACATTTAATATTGTCGATCTTTTTTGTTTCAGAAATTCTTGTGGGTATGGAATATTATTTCATTATTCTTTATTATTTGGGGATGAGTTCTCATTAAGTTGCTGAGGCTGGCCTTGAAGTCTGTGCCTTTTGTGGCATGGGGATCGCGCCTGGCATCTCGTGTGAGTGGTCTGCCCATCTCCTGAGAGGGTGAGAGCACTCTTCCCGCTCCCGGGAGGCAGGATAGAGAAGACAGGGAGCCAGACCTGTTGAGAAGCCATGGGATCCTGAGAAACACCTTGGACTCAGCAGACTTAAGGGTGGGAACGTCCAGTAATAACTTTCCGGCTTTTGCTCAGAGGGAACAGGTGCCCTCCATCCGGGCCTGCTGCCTACGACCTCCTGAATTCGTGTTTGGTTTGGGTGAGGGGTCGTGGAGAAGGGGTCCGTCTCTGGGTGGGTCAGGGTCAGGACAGAGAGAAGGAGGAAATGGAAGCCAGGACACGGGTGACCCTAGAACCCCCAGGATTCCCCAAGGCCTTGAGGAGGGCTTTGGACATCCTCTGGGCACAGAATGGGGGTGAGCTGTGTCCATTTTGCGCTCATCCACCCCAGGGGGCACATTTCCCTGGGCCAAAATGAAGGCCAGAGACTTGTCCCTGACTCATCTCATTGAATGCCGTGGGCCCAGTCTGCTACCTTCTGTCGTGTGGACTCTTGGAAGCTCATGCTGACCCAGTCTCGTCCATGAAACTAGACAACCAGTAGGCAGTCACCGACACAGCCTGTGACGATAAAAGCTTGAGTCGGACACGGTGGCGCACCCTGAAATCCCAGCAGCTCTGGAGGCCAAGGCAGGAGAGGTGACAACCTGGGCAACTTCTCAAGACCTGGTCTCAAAAATTTCCCACCGACGGGGAACGTAGCTCAACGGGTCCAATCCCCAGTACCAAAAATAAATAAATAAATAAAGACATCAACTCGAAAATTGCAAGTCCTCCTGCCACACTGCAGACTTGACCAAAGCCTTCAGCCTCGCCCCTGCCCCGGCTCCCGGGCTCTGCTGACCACACGAAGCTGACTGTTGGGAGACGCTCACCAGCCCCAGGTGTCCCCATGGAGTGGATGGCACATCATTAGAGAAGAACCCCTGTGCGGAAGTTCAGGGCCGGCGGGTGCGGTGGCGCAGCCTGTAGTCCCAGTGACTTGGGAAGCTGAAGCAGGAGGTCACAGGTTCGAGGTCAACGTGGGTGACTTCGTGAGACCCTGTCTCAAAATAAAAAAATAAAAAGGGCTGAAGATGTGGCTCAGTACTGGAGCACCCTGAGTTCAAACCCCAGTACTGGAAGAAGAAAGAGAGCGCAAGGAAAGGAGGAGGAGGAACAGAGACGCAGACAAAGGACAGCGAACAGCCCAGGTCACCCAGTGGGAGGCAGCCTGCTCCTCTGGCTCGCAGAGCAGCTTTGGGTTGGGCCCTAATTCAGCCACTGACTGGGCTCATCAGTTTCCTATTGCTGCTGTAACAAATCACCACAAACTGGGCGTCTGAAAACAGTAAACATCTATTTCCTCCCAGGTGTGGAGCTAGAAATCCGAAATCAAGGCCCTGATGAGGCCTCATCCTTCCAAGGCTCTGGGAACACCCCTCCTTGCCCCTCCTGGCTTCGGGTGGGTGGGAGTTCCTCAGCCTGTCAGGGCATCATTCTGAGACCACGTCTTTCTGGGCATGTGGCTCTTCCTGTGCTTCTGGGTGTCTTCCTGTGGCCTTCTTATGGGACGTCAGTTATTGGATTTGGGGCTCATCCTACTCCACTGTGAACTTACACTAACTACATCTGAATTTTGGGGGAGGTAATGAATTTTGGGGGAGCTGTTATTCAACCCAGGTCACAGGTGTCCCAGGCAGTTAGAGTCCCACCTAACCACCTCCTCTCTATTTCTAGATTTTTAACTACAGTAGTTAAGTGTGCATCCCGAGCCAAGAAGCCAAGCCCTGGCACTGGACTTGATAAGCCCCAAAGACCAGCATTGGTCAGGGGAAACAGCTGGGCTGGAGGTCAAAGCAGGGGCCCCCGCCCACACTTCCTCTTCTTGCTTAGACCTCCGAAGCCCTCCTGGGGGCCAGGTGGATGTGATGGAGCTGTGCGTTAATTAGAATTAAGTTTGACTTCAACAAATGAGGTCTAAGTGTATTTCTCTTTTGTGTTCAAGAAATCCAGATGGTCAATCCAGGGAGGGCAGGTGCTCCACAGTGTTGGAGATCTAAGTTCCATTTTTCTTCTTCTCCTCTGTGACTTCCATTCATAAAAGTCACCTTATGATCCAAGATGGCTGCTGACATTCCAGTCATTAACACTCAAGCCAGCCACTGAGAGGACACAGAATTAAGAGAGTTAAAGACACCCACCCACCTCCATTTACACCCCCGTGGCCAGACCAATCTGTAAGGAAGGCTGTGAGAAAGTGGTCTCGGTTCTGAGAAGCTGAATCCCACCTGAAAGTTGGGAGTTCTGTTCCTAAGGGTGAGAGCCAGACAAGATATGAAGGACAAAGTAGAAGAAGCCTTCACAGCTTTGAGGAAAAGTGACCCAACCTCTGGGGACAGGGAAGGCGATTCCCAAGATGGTTAGCTTTGTTCCTCTCACGGGGGAGTAGCTGCTTCGTGGTGTCACGGGGGGAGGAGAGGTTCCCCCAGCACTTGGGCACAGTGTGTGCCACACATAGATGGGGATCCCCACTGAGACACCGTTGCAGACCAGATGAGGGGGACCAGCCGTCACCCTGGGTTGTGCTCCCTTGGGTGGGCCTCCTCCCAGGGGGCTGCTATTCTGAGTCCCACAGGCACTGGGAGCCCTGAGGCCACGCCTTCTAATGTGCCCACCTGCCTGCTGTCCACCCACCCTGTTGTCCCCTCTTAGCGCGTGGCAGGGGTGGAGGCACGAGGCCGACGTCCTCAGGCTGCAAAGGTGGCTGACAGCCTTCGCTTCTGTGCTTAGAATCTCCAGGCTCAAATCAGAAACCTGGAGCAGACCAAGGCAAATAAGAGCTCGCTGGAGGAGGACCTTCGAGAAGTGAGTGGCCAGAGGGTCCCCTCCCAAGCCCCGGCTCCCCACCAGGGAAGAGGAGCCACCCAGGCAGAGCCTTCCAGAATCCTCTGCCTTGGTTCCTACAGGCAGGCTGGGAGGCTTCTCACAAGTCGTCCTCACCACCCAGTGACACTGTCACGTAAACTTAAAAACCAGGCACCAACTTCCCTGTCGCAGGAAAACCTTGGCTTGCCTCATAGATCCCGAGGAGGATCCCAACATAGATCCCAAGGGCTGGACGTCCAGGCTCCAGAGGGCTGAGGTCTCCCAGTCCCCCCCCCCAGTAGCCCTGCCCCCTGCGCCCCCTCTCTCCCTAGAAAGCTGACAAGAGCGCCCTGGCAAGCAAGGCGAACCGCGCAGACCTGGAGACGGTCGTGACCGAGCTGCATGAGACGTTTCAGAGCATCTTGTTCAAGCTCACGACCCAGAATGACCACTGGAAGAATGCTGTGGAGCAGCTCAAGAAGGAACTGAGCACCAAGGTGAGCACCTGGCCCCGCTGTCCCCTGCTGCGGGACGGATTACTTCAGGACTTTACGGCTTCCACAGCAAATGCTCACAGCTGTGAGGAGCAGGAATTGGGGAGCAGCTTAGCTGGGTGGCCCAGGATCTCCCACAATGTCACAGGTAAGGTGTTGTCCAGGGCTGCATCTGAAGGAGCTGGGAGGAGCCATTTCAAAGACAGCACTCTCACAGGCTACTCAAGAGGCTAAGGCAGGAGGATCACAAGTTTGAGGCCAGCCTCAAACTTATTTAGGTAATTTATTGAGTCTCAAAAAAATAAAAAGAGCTGGAAGTGTAGAGAGGTAGAGTGCCCCTGGGTTCAATCTCCAGGACCACAAATTAATTAATTAATTTAAAAAAGAATCTTCAGTTCTTTATCACAAGACCTCCTCCTCAGAGCCACTTGAGTGGCCTCATAACATGGCTCCTGACATCCCCCCCGAACAAGTGACCCAAGGAAACAAGAAAGAATCTGCACAGTCTTGTGTGACTGCACCCCGGAAGCACCCTCCCTCACTTCTGTGATATCCTGTTGGTTACCTGAGTCGTCCCTGTTCAACGAGAGGGGACTACTTGGTGGTGTGAATTCCACGTGGTACAGCTGGGCAGCGTCTTGCAGGCTGACCACCATTGTTCTCCTGGCAGGACCCCCGCAAAGGCAGGGTCTGAGGGGGCCTGGGGAACCATGCTGGTCCTTGATTGATTCATCTGAGGTGCCAGACCCAGAGAATGTCCAGGGAATCACAGCCCTGCTGCCCCTTGTGCACACACAGACAGAGGCAAGAACAGACAGACTGACAGTGTGAGGCTGTGTGGCTCAATGCCAGGGGGTAGGAAGAGGGTACAGAACAGAGATTGTCCTAGGTTAAGATCACAGCAGCCCAGATGATCAGACGCAACACAGGAAACAGTGTTACTTTTTTTCCTGGTCCAGTTGAGCCAATTCCAAACCTGGTCTTCAAATGTGACCCAAGTCAGGAATTCTCACTAATTATATTAGATGTGATCATGGAATTATGATTATGAATGAAAGCATCCCCATCTTTTAGAAACACTCAGATATTCATGAGTGAAATGTCATGATTTCTGTAACTCAAAAAAATAATAATAATGATAAACCAGGCGCGGTGGCGCACGCCTGTAATCCTAGCAGCTTGGGAGGCTGAGGCAGGAGGATTGCGAGTTCAAAGCCAGCCTCAGCAACAGTGAGGCACTAAAGCAATTCAGTGAGACCCTGTCTCTAAATAAAATACAAAATAGGGCCGGGGATGTGGCTCAGTGGTTCAGAACCCTTCAGCTCAATCCCTGGTACCCCCAAAAAAACTAACTAAATAAATAATGTATCAAAAAAAATAAGGCAAGTTGGGCACAGTGGCATGTCTGTAATCCTAGGCCCCCAGGAGGCTGAGGCAGGAAGATCACAAGGCAGAGGCCAGCCTCAACCACTTAGTGTCAGCGACCCTGTTTCAAAAATACAAAATAATGGGGTTGAGGCTGTAGCTCAATGGCAGAGCATTTGCCTAGCATGTATGAGGCCCTGGGTTCAATCCTTAGCACTGCATAAAAATAAAATAAAGGCATGCTGTTCATCTTCAACTACAAACAAACAAACTAGTTATTTAAAAAATACAAAATGAAAGGGCTGGGGATTTAGCTCAGTGTTAGTGTCCCTGGGTTCAATCCCCAGGAACAAATAAGAATAAAGCAAATATAGCAACATGTTAATAACTACTAAATCTAGGTGATGGATATGTGGTGGGTAATTATTTTAGTCTTTCTGCTTTTCTCTGAGATTTTCCAGATGAAGAGCTTTTTGTGTGGTTGTTGTTTTAAGTGACTCCATACTCATTGCTTTCATTTCTGTATTATTTCCAGGGGGCACCAGGGACTGAACCCCAGAGTGCTCTACCACTGAGCCACATCCCTAGCCCTTTTATTTTATTTTTTTAACTTTATTTGTATTTATTTATTTTTTATGTGGTGCTGAGAATCAAACCCAGCGCTATGCATGTTACGCAAGCACCCTACCACTGAGCCACAACGCCAGCCCCCCAGCCCCTTTTATTTTTTTTAATATATTTTTTTGAGAGAGAGAGAGAATTTTTTTAATATTTATTTTTTAGTTTTCGGCGGACACAACATCTTTGTTTGTATGTGGTGCTGAGGATCGAACCCGGGACGCACGCATGCCAGGCGAGCGCGCTACCGCTTGAGCCACATCCCCAGCGCCCCCTTTTATTTTTTAAGAGAGGGTTTCACTAAGTTGCTTAGGGTCTTGCTAAGCTGATGAGGCTGGCTTTGAACTTGTGTTCCTCCTGCCTCAGCCTCCTGAACTGCTGGGCCCAACCCTTTTATTTATTTATTTATTTATTAATTTCAGGCAAGATCTTGCTAAGTTACCCAGGCTGGCCTCAACCTTGGAATCCTTCTGCCTCCGCCTCTGAATAGCTGGGATGACAGGCGTGTGCCACTGTGCCCGGCTCCTTTCTGTATTTTTAATTGTGGTGAAAGTCACAGAACACAAAATCAACCAGTCTGCAGTGAACCAGTCAATGGCATTCACGCTCACAGTGCGCTGCCCTCACCTCAGTCTAGTTCTGAGACATTCACATCTTTCCAAAAGGAAACCCAGTGTCCTTAGCAGTCACTCCCTTCTTCCCCGCCCTGGCCCCCGGCAACCACTAGTCTCCGTGTGCACACACCTGTTCTGGATGTTTGTCATGAAGGGAACCACACAGTATGCGCACTCTTGTGTCTGAATTCTTTAGTTTAGCACCATGTCTTTGAAGCGCATTCATGTCATAGCATGGGTCAGAACTTCATCCCAAGAAAAATGAAATTATGTCCACACAAAATTTTCCATGTGAATCTTCATAGGAGCATTAGTTATAATAGCCAAAAGGTGGAAAACACCCAGTGTCTATCAACAGAGGAATTAATTAACAAAATGTAGTATATCCAGTGCTGGACATGTGGTGCATGCCTGTAATCCCAGCGACTTGGGAGGCTGAGGCAGGAGGATCGAAACTTCCAGGCCAGCCTCAGCAACTCGGTGAGACCCTGTTTTAAAAAATAAAAATAAAAAGGGCTTGGGATGTGGCTTAGTGGTTAAGCACCTCTGGGTTCAATCCCTGGTACCCCCCCTCAAAAAAAAAAAAAAAAAAGTATATCCAGAGGCTGGGGTTGTAGCTCAGTGGTAGAACACTTGCCTGGTACGTGTAAAGTACTGGGTTCAATCCTCAGCACCACATAAAAATAAATAAAAATTAAAATAAAGCACTATGTATATCTACAACTAAAAAAATTTTTAAAAGTATATCCAGGGGTTGGGGTTGTGGCTCAGTGGTAGAGCACTTGTCTAGCAAGTATGAGGCACTGGGTTTGATCCTCAACACTACATAAAAATAAATAAATAAATGTCTAACTACAACAAAAAAAATTTAAAAAGTATATCCATATGATGGAATGATATTTGATCATGCTATTCCATGCTTCATATCATGTAGCATGAATGTAGTACAGTAGAATATTATTCACCCATAAAAAGGAATGAAATTCTGATGCACGCTGCAACATGGGTGAATCTTGAAATAGTTTGCCAAAGGAAAGGGGCCAGACGCCAAAGGCCAACTATTGTATGATATTTTTGTGAGGTGTCCAGAATGGGCAAATCCAATAAATGCAGAAAGTAGGTTAGTGGTTGCCAGAGCCTGGGCTTTGGAGGAAATAGGGGGCTTCTTTGGGGAATGATGCAAACATTCAAAAATTGATGGTGATGGTCCTTTGTGAGTATACTAAAAGTGGCTGAATTAGCTACTTCACAGTCAGATCCTTAATAAATATGTGAGGACTATGTGAAGGTCAGATGCATGTGGACCATGGGGAGAATGGGCAGTTGGGCAGTAGGTTTGGAGGTGGTAGCTGGTGGTGTTTTTGCCTTGGCCTCTGGGAAGCTCACTTTGCGGTTCCCCTCTACCAATGGCACCCGTGAGGGCTGTGGGCTTTAGCCCAAGCCCATTCATTTCCCCCTTCTTCTCATTCTCATTATGGAGGTTTGCAGGTTGCCGCAGATCCCTTTCCCAGGGAGCTGGGTGTGGCTGGTTGACCGGCTGTCTTTTCTCCCCTGGGCTGGCAGCTGGTGCACAGTGACCTGGACCTTCTGAAGAAGGGCCTGGAGGAGGTCTGGGAAGTAGTCAAGAAGCTGCTGCTGGAGGGCCTGCTCTACGACCCCGACAGCGCCGCGGGCTTCAGGAGGCGAGCGGCGGGAGGGCTGCGGCTGCCAGCCTCGGGCACCCCTGGATTCCAGACCATGGGCACAGGGTCGGGTCTGGGACCTGAGTGGGCAGCTCTGCTGCCTCTGGCTGCAGGGCTCCAGGCCTTTTGCTGCAAACGAGGATACTGAGGCTCAGAGAGGGAAGGGACCATGTGGACCATGGGAGGCCGGGGCACATCTGGGGCCTGGGCCAGGGACCCTGACCGTCCACCCAGACAGTCCCACAGAGGGCCCCAGTGTCAGAGGGGGCTGCAGCCCTCAGCTCGCAACGGAGGAGGGTTGGACGGGCGGGAGGCACAGCACGTTCAGTCTCGGACCAGGACACAGACAGTGCTGGGGCGGGAGTGGGGGGACCTGGCCACCCCTGATGCCCGACCGCCTACCTTTCAGGAAACTGTTTGAGCGGGTGAAGTGCATTTCCTGCGACCGGCCAGTGGAGATGATGACCGGCCCGTGAGTACCGCGCCAGGGACGGTAAAGGCCACGTGTGCCCGCCCCAGGCACCGTGCTGCAGAGATCAAGTAAAATGCACCCCTGTGCTCCCTAAAGGCCTCCACTGTATACATACCCGTGTGCACCGCGCTCAGGCAGGGTCTGCATAGCTCCAGCCGCGCATGTCCTCTCTAGACCCCTTCCTCCCCTCTTCTCTTTTGTGTGTTGGACCTGGGGTTTGAACCCAGGGCCTTGTGCATGCGAGGCGAGGCAAGTACTCTACCAACTGAGTGTATCCTCAGCCCCCTCCTCCTCTCTTCTGGTGATGGCAGGCACTGCTTCTCTCCTTGTTCTTTCGCCAACCCTATCTAGGGTCTGACTCAGTGCTCCACCCCACCCCCCAAAAATAAAGAAAGAAAAAAAAAGGAAGGAATCATTGTCAGCAAGAGCACAACTTTGTTCTACTTGCTGGTCCAATACTTGCATAATATGAAATTAATTATATTATTATTATTATTATTTGCGGTGCTGGGACTCTAAATCAGGACTTCATGCATGCTAGTCAAGCACTCACCCCCCGCCAGCACTACCTCAGCCCTAAAATGAACCATTTTAAAATGAATAGTGGTCCCTTGGTGGCACATTCCTGTAATCCCAACTACTTGGAAGGCCAAGGTGCTGCCAGCCTAAGCAACTTAGCAAGCCCCTGGCTCTAAATAAAATAAAGGTGTGAGAATGTAGTCAATGCTAGAGCATGTGGGAAGTCCTGGGTTCAATCCCCAACACTGCAAAAATTAATTAAATATAAATAAAGTGGTTGGGATCGGTGGCACATGCCTGTAATCCCAGAGACTTGGAAGGCTGAGACAGGAGAATTGCAAGTTTGAGGCTAGCCTCAACAATTTAATGAGACCCTCTCTCTAAAAATAAATAAAGCAAAGAGTTCAGTGGCATTTGGTGTAGTCACGGTGTAGTGCAACTCTTGCCTCCAATCCCAGGGCCCTGTTTAGTCCCCCAGGGCCACTGGCACACTAGCAGTCACTTCCCCCTGCCACCTCCCCTCCAGCCCCTGGCAGCCACTAATCCACTTTCTTTCTTTTTTTAATATTAATTTTTAAAATAATATTAATTTTTGTAATTGGACACAATATCTTTCTTTCTTTATTTATTTTTATGTGGTGTAGGCAAGTGCTCGCCCCTGAGCCACAACCCCAGCCCCCACACTGATCCACTTTCTGGTCTGCCACATATGGCCTTGGAGGCTGGCTTCTTCCACTTAGCAGAGTGTTTGTAAGGTTCCTCTAGGTTCAGCATGAGCCAGTGCTTCACTCCTTTTTATCACTGAATAAGATGCTGTTGTGTGGATAGAGCACATTTTACCCCTTCGTCTCTTGATGGACATCCAGTTGTTGTACCTCTTAGCTATTGTGACTAGTGCTGCTGTGAACATCTGTACATGTGTATTTGCTTGAACACCTGTCTTCAGTTCTTTGGGGTAGAAGTTCTTTGGAGTGGAAGTGCTGGCTCTAAGGTAACTCTGCGGTTGACTTTTTGAGGAGCTTTCGGGCAACAGTCTGTCCTGACACCAGGACCTGACAGGGCCCTGCAGTGCTGGTCCAGTCCTGGGACCCAGGGAGTTTGCCACCCTCATGCCACCTCCTCCTTCATGGAGGAGCTGTGGAGCCTCAACAAGATTTCCCTTTCGAATCACAGGTATCTAGCTGCAGTATTATTTATAGTAGTAAAAACGCTGGAGACAAGCGCCATGGTGAACAGGCACGTGTGTCAGCCTGCACAAGCCACGACCTTGTACGGGGACGCCGTCTGGTGCAGCGCTGTGCGCTGTGGAAAATGGCGGGTAGCCGTACTGTCCAGTCCAGGAGCCACAGGACACGTGTGGCTGTTGAGCCCTGGCACTGTGGCTAATGCGATTGAGAAAATGACTTTTAAATTTTATTAAAACTTAATTAGGGGCTGGGGTTGTGGCTCAGTGGCAGAGCGCTTGCCTCACATGTGTGAGGCACGGGGTTCAATTCTCAGCACCGCATATAAATAAATAAATAAAATAAAGGTCCATCGACTCTAAAAAAATTTTTTTAAATTAATTTACATGCATATTAAAATGACCACATGTGGCCAGTGGCTAGTGTATTGGATAACACAGCTGTGGAATATCACTTAATAACCTGAAAAATGTTTGCAATAAATTATATGAGAATATCAAGCAGTATGTGTTGTTATCCTAACTTTAAAATTACATAGACATGGAAGAAAGCTGGAAGAGCATATCTCAGTATCCTGTCACCTGGTTACAGCGCTGTGTTTCCTTTTGCATTTCTATAATTTATGAAACGTTAACGATCAGTGTGTTACTGAAAAGTCTTGTGGTGACTCAACATGCCCACAGTGAAGGGCATGGTGTTTATTGTGCTGTCCAGTCTCCTCTGCACATGTCTGCTCCGCGGAGCTGCCCAAGAAGGCTGCCGTGATCTTATTTATTTTTATTTCCTTATTGAGGCAACACCCAGGGCATAAATCTCACCACTGTGAGGGAAGGGTCAAGTGGCATGTGGTATGTTTCAAGGTTGTGCAGTCGCCACCCTGAACCATGGAACTGTGTCTCCTTCCCATCCTTGCCCAGCCGCTGGAAGCCTCCATCTGCAGCCTGAGGATTTACCTAGTCTGGATTTTACTTTAGTGACCAGAACAGGGGTGGAGCCAGGCCCTCCCCAGTGCCAGGACCAGCATGATTGTTGTTCATGTGTTTGTGTCTTTGATTGTCAGGGTTCCCCAGAGCCCAGGCACGGTGGTCCTGAGGGTGGGCGTGTCCAGGTCTGCACCTCCTTCCTTTTCCTGGTGGAGGTGGGAGCCTGCAGCCACCACCACGCTTTTGTCCTCCACAGGCAGCTCATCACGATGCGCAAAGCCCGCCTGCTGTCAAAGCTGCGGCCAGCCAGTGCCAACAGCTACGAATACCTACAGCGCCAAATGATGAGGTGAGGCTGCAGAGCGGTCCTGGGCAGGTCTGCCACCCCTACTCCTGCCAAGACATATCCACCAGTGCCAGGACCAAAGACCGACACCCAGGGTGTTGCTAACCCTCTGTGATTGGAGGTGGCCTGGGCAGAGGACAGGAGCCAATGTTGTTCTATCAGGACTGTTAGGTGCTTCTAAATGGCGGCAGAGGGCGGGTATCTCCTTAAATCTCACAACCACTCGCGAGCCGGGTGGACATGCCTGTTCCTGGTGGAGAGCAGTGATCAGGACCCTCCAGGAGCCCCCCCCCTGTGGCCCACCTGGCCTGTTGGGCCCTCCCAGCCTGCCGAGGTGTACTCCCTGGTCATCCCATTTCACAGTTGGGGAAACCGGCACAGAGAGCTTATGTGACTGCCAAGGTGTTGGCTAGTAAGTGGCAGACCTGACACAGACTGGCTGGCCCCCTGGTCTCACCTCCCCCCACCCCTGGACATCCTAGGCTCTGGAGGCCCTAGGGGCACCCAGCCCTGTGGGAATGACACCTGGAGGAGGGACTTGAGGGCCTGATCTGGTTCCCTGGCCTCCTGTGCTTGACTCGTGAAGCTGCAGATCAAGAGTATGTGCCTTGTCAAACCGGGCCAGGCTCCAGGAGCGCTTGGCCCTGGGAATGTGGGAGCTGGTTTATCCCCTCCCAGCTGTGCGTGTCTGCACTGCCCGCCAGGCCCAGGCCTGCCTGCTGGGCCATCACACCCTTGACACGGGCCAGGCCCAGGAGCAGAGGGTCTCCAGGGGCTGATGACTCTCTGCTCTGCACAGGGAACAGCTGCAGCTGCAAGAGGACGGCCTGCACACTCTGGGCTCTCAGCAGGACTGGGGCGACAGCCTCCGAAATGACACCACCCTCAAGTTCAAGCCAGGGGAACTGTCAACACTCTACCCCTATGGGGACCCCCAAGTGTTAAACTACGACACTGTGAGTCTGGCCGTCAGGGTGTCCCAGGCCCAGGCGTGGGCTGGACCCCAGGCCACGGGCATCTCTGGGAGGCTGTGCTCTGACTTCAGGACCTCTGCATGCATCGGGAGGGTAGCAAGGTGGAGGCCTTGACCAGTGACGCAGACTGTCCCACAGGCCGAGGTGGACATCCTGGGAGTGGACGGGATTCTGTACAAAGGCCGAATGAACACTCAGTTTGGGGCCCAACCCTTGACCACTGCAGAGAAGGAGTTGGCAGGTGAGAGGCGTCGGGTCCTCCCTCCGCATACCCCTGCTCAGGTCTCCCTGTGCCAGGTAGCTGAGGGGAGGCAGTGGGGCTCAGGGCTGCTGCCATCCCTAGCTGGGAAGCATAATAGTCACTTGCAAAAATGGGGTCCCCAGTGTATGCTGGGAAACAGTGGGGAGCAAGAGATGGGCTATTGCCTGCAGGTGATTCATGCAGGGGACAGACCACAGTAAATATCTGAAAGGCAAGAATCCATGGTTACAAACAGATAAAACTGACCTGAAGGGAGACACTGGTGATGGGAGAGTTGTGCTAAGGGACCCTGGTTGATGGCGAAGGATTGGGCAGCTGCCCTGACACCTCTGAAGGGGAAAAAGCATTACTTGGTGAAAAGGGGTGGGGAGGGAGGAGAGCAGTCCAGGTGGAGGGAATATCAGATATCAGGTTCAGTAGCCATTTGGTGGTCAGAAGCCAAGCACAGGCAGGAACTGGGAAGGGCGGTCCAGACTGTAGTGCAGAGACAAAGGTGGGGGTAGAGGAATGAGCAGGTCCAGTCCCTGGAGGCCTGTGTCCTAATCTCAAAGGCAGGGGTCAGACCAGGAGGAGCCCCAGACCCACGGGCACTTGCCCCGGTTGCTGTGGCCCTTGCAGCATGAGGGCTGGAGTTCCAGCCTCTCCCACCTGGGCCACCTTGGCTCTAATACTGAGAGGAGCATTCTCTGCACACCCCTTTGGGGCATTTTCCCTCTGAGAAGAGAGTTCTGAATTTGCTCCTTGGTAGAAGCCACACACAGCCCATGGGCCCGGCCAGGCAGGGTTGAGTCCATACTCTACCCATGGACGTTCCTCCTCCCAGACTGCCCTGAGGAGTAGAGAGCTCAACCCCAGACCCAGGAAAGGAAGCGGCAGCTCCCAGCGCTGGGTGCCTCAAAGGAGTGGACATTTATTCTCGCAGTCCTGGAGGCCACAAGCCCTAAGTCCAGGGGGAGCGGGCTCTGCTCCTCCAGAGGCACCGGTGCAAGACTCTGCGGTCTCCTGGGAATGGCTGCCTCACTCCAGCGTCGGCCTCTTCTTTGCGTCCTCCATGGCTCCTCCTCTTCTTCCTTAGGACACTTGCCTTTGGATTTAGGGCTCCATGTAACCCAGGATGATCTCACTGCAGGATCCTTCATTAAGCCTGCAGAGATCCTCTCCAATACACTTACGTACCTGGGTTCCAGGGGACATACTTATTGGGGACCACCAGGCAACCATTCCAGGTCACACCCTGTTTGCATGAGGGCAGGTCACCACCTCCCTTGTCCTCTCCCCAGGCAGGATGTGGCTGCTCCAGGACTGCAGCTCTGATGGGAGGGGCTGGGCTGGGCTTCAGGGGTCACCAAGCAGGGTGACTTGAGGGTTTCGTAAGTGGCTAATAAGCCAGGCCCTCCCCGCCTGCCCCTGCCCGCAGCAACCTGGTGAGGCATCTCATCTACACACACGGGAGGTCCACTTGCTGGGAGGGCAGCCTCAGTGGAGGGGCTGGGACAGATGGAATCTCTGGTCCTATCCTCAACCCCATCTACCTTCCCCAAGGGTGTCACCCCTGAAGAGGGAGCTGAGGGGCTTCTCCCTGGTTGATGGTTCATTCCCAAGACCCACAAAGCACACAGAATTTGAACTTAGATGGCTCCAACATTTCGCCTCACTTGGGTGATGAAGCCAAACTAGTGTGAGAGTCCTCTAGAAGCCTGTCTGTGGCAGCACGTAGATCCACTCATGTGCTCACACAGAAGAACGTTGTCATCCAGAACAGACACCATATTCCAACCTAAAACTAGCCAGGCTGAGCCACCCGGCTCCGGAAGACTTCACCCATCCACCATCAGGACCCACTAAGCAGCAGCCCTTCATCTGCCCCCCCACACCAGGCCTCCAAAGGCAGCCCGTGGCCTTTCTGATTGTGATGCTGCAGTCCTCAGTCTAGGCCTGTGCAGAGGGACATCCGATCCTTAGGGCGCGCCCCGCAGTTGGTAAACAGGTGTGCAAGGCCTGCTCCGCAGGTGGGGCCTTCAGAGAGTGTCCACAGAAGCAGACTGAGCGCAGAAGGAAGGCAGCAGGAGGTGGTCAGAAGGGGCTCCAGGTGGAAGGATCAGGGCTACAGAGACAGGAGGAGTGTTCTGTGGGAGACGAAGCCTCGTCACGGCCAGTTGACTCTCCTAAAGCGTGTGGGCTCGGGCTCCTCTGTGGGTGCCATCACAGATTCATTGTCTTAGTTCTGGAGGTTGGAAGTCCGAGATCTGGAGGCTCCAGGGGCGAAACCACCCCTCACCTCTCCCAGGTAGAGGCCCCACCTTCTCTGTCCTCAGAGCACACCACACTGGCCTCCGCGTCTGCTATCATACCTCCAACTCCGTCGCCCTGGACCCCATGATTGCACTCGGCCCACCTGGATAACTGGGATAATTTCCCCACCTCAAACTCCTGCTCAATACAGTCCCCTTTCCACAGAAGGGATCAGGATGGTGGGCAGTCACAGTCACGGTGATTCTTGGCTGGACAGGAGCAGGCACGTGTTTTATGGTTCCATTTTCATGAAATGTCTGGAAGAAGCAAATTCATGGAGAAAATGAAAACAGTGGTTGCCAGGAGCTGGTTTGGCAATGGGGAGTGACTGCTTAATGGCATGCAGGATGCTTTTGGGGTGATGAAAGTGTCTTGGAACTAGATAGCGGTGGCACCGTGCAGCTCTGTGAATGTATTCCATGCCACTGCACTGGGCGCTTTAAAGGGATAATTTTATGTTGTGTGAAATTACCTAAAAAAAAAAGGTGGGGGGCAAGATGGGGGTGGGGACTTTATGGGTCTGTCCCCAGCAGGAAATTTTTAGTTGTTATTGTACTGGGGTTGAATCCAGGGCCTCGGGCATGCTAGACAAATTCTCTACCATGGAGCTACACCCCAACTCTTATTTTTTTTTATTTTCAGAGTTTTGCTAAGTTGCTGAGACTGTTCTCGAACTTGGGATCCTCCGGCCTTAGCCTCCCAAGTTGCTCTAATTACAGCCATGCACTAGAGTTTCCCAGCAGGAATATCTAAAGAACTGACAGTGGCACACATCTATAGTCCCAGCTACTTGAGAGGCTGAGGCAAGAGGATCACTTGAGCTCAGGGATTGGAAACCAGCATGGGAGACCTAGCAAGACTGTGCCTTAAAAAAAAAAAAAAAAAAAAAAGCATGTGCACACATTTATCATGCATGTGTGTAAAACAGAACTGCCAGACGCCTACCTCATGCAGTCCTTGTCTGCACCAGGCCAATTGCTTTTACTAATTGTCATGTCCCCTGGCTTGAAAAAGCCTTTGGGATGTCTGCTGTCCTGGTCTTAGCCTTGGGAGGATCTGGACTTAAGCAGAGAGGGAAGGACATTCACCCATGGGGACAGGAGGGTTGGAGGAGCTGGGGAGGCAGGGCTGGGTTAGGTTGAGCCTGATTTGAGGCCAGAGCTCTGGAAGACGCCTACTTGTTCTGGTCCTTTCTTCTCAGCTGTCAAGGTTCCTTGTCCCCCAGCTAGAAACCTGTATGCTCCTGTGCGCTCCAGTGACTTATTCGGTACCATCTGCCCCCGTGAGTACCTCCCCCACCCTCCCATCCCACCTGGGGTTCTGCCAGGTCTCGGGTTCCTCTACTCACTGCCCGTTACCCTCACCCCCAGCCCCAAGGCTTGCTCCGTCCCACCTCATCCATCTCTCACCTGCTCTGTCAAGGTTCAGGCAGCCTGCTCACCCACACCTGGGCCCCAGGAAGACCCCCGTAGCAGCCCTCACCCAGCACTTTGCTCCCTGGCCAGGGAAATGGTGCCTGCAGCTGTCCTGGGCTCCTGCTCCATCCTCAGGGGAGCTTATAGACCCTGGGCATCATCACAGAAGCCTAGGCCAGGTGTCGGTCCCCAGGCGTCCACCTGGCTGCAGGGGTGGGACATAGGAGCCCACTTACTGCCCTGGGCCTGTTGGACTGCAGCCCAGGAGCCAGGTTGGGAGGAGCTGAGCCCTGTGCTCCCCTGACTGGTGTCACTGTGTATCAGCAGCCGAGGGGCACTGACAGCTTATGAAGCACTTTCTCCCTTCTTGTCTCATCTAGTTCTTACCAGCTCAGGGGGGTGGTACTGGTGGTCTTTATTTTTTGGGTACTGGGTCTTACTAAATTGCCCAAGCTGGCTTCAAACTTGTGATCCTCCTGCCTCAGCCTCCCATGTTGCTGGAAGTATGGCCATGCAACACAGTGCCTGGCTGCTGAGCAGGGACATCAAAAGATCCGACAGTGGCACACACTGCAGTCCCAGCTACAGCTCACGGCCACGTCCTGCTCTATTAGTCCATTTCAAGAGGAGGGAGCTGAACCTCAGCGACCTGAGCCCAACCCCCAGACACCAAGCTCCGTGTCCTCCTGGGTGCTCTGCCCTACTCTAGTGCCCATTTCCAGAGTCCTGTATCTTTTGTCACTTCACCTGGGAAGTTTAGATGCCCAGGGCCAGGGGAGGCCACAATAACCAGCCCTGACATGGCCCACAGAGCACCTCCAGACTCGGCTGCTCTTCCCTCCAGTGGGGTGGACCCCATCAGGCCAGTTGCTCCCAGGAATTTCTTGGGTTTTATCCTGCTCCCTGCAGCCTTGGGTCCCCGCACTGGAGCCTGCTCAGCCACCTCTGGCTCTCCCTCCGTGATGCTGGCTCAACCGCCATCCCTGCCACCTCTGCCACTGCTGCCGCCGCTGTTTCCCCCGCTGTTTCCCCCTCTGCGGAACCCCCAGCAGGCCCCAGAGCCTACCAGACACTTGAGGTCTCTGCGCCCTGAGTCCCGAACCAGCAAGCAGCCTATGGAGGAGCCTGTCAACCCGTGAGCCCCTACCCTTCCTGTGTCCCCACAAGTCTCAGGTCCCATCTACTCCCCCGGGTGAGACCCGGGGCCCTGGAGCTGGTTCAGGAAACGGCCCCTGGGCAAACCAAATAGGTCTGCACAGGGGACCCCCCCATATTGATTAAGTAACTATTTTAACTCTACATATAAATACAAACAACCCAAACTTCTTCTCCAACACAGCCTTCTTATCTCTTCACAAAAAAACATGGCTTTCAAGTGAATTTGCCACTAAGCCACTTGAATTCCCTGACCAATTTTGAATACAACAGTTAAAATGGTTTTAAAATAATCCCTTTCCTTTTTAAAAAATTATTTTCTTTCTTCTTTTTTTTTTAATAAAGCCTTTTTAAAAATTTATTTCTATTTTTATGTGGTGCTGAGGATCGAACCCAGTGCCTCACACATGCTAGGCAAGCACTCTGCCACTGAGCCACAACCCGGCCCCTGATCCCTTTCCTTTTTATTCTTCTGAACGATGCCATCAGAAGCAGTTCCCATGACAGCTCCTGCCTTTGCCCACCTTGCTTGGGGGCCATTACTTTTACTAAGTCCAGTTTCCCATGGGAACCAAATTTGACCGTGTGCATCTTTTTCTTTCATGTTGGTAACTGCTGTCATGAATTGGATTGTTTCTGTTTACTTCTTAGCTGATCCACGAGGAAATGGGTGCAACGCTCCTAGGGTATTCCAGGATTGCACCATCCCTTCCGGGCCGAGCACCACAGGCCTGTTTTGAGTCTAGCAGCTTCCCTTGCTCACAGCCCATGCATCTGGTGGGAAAAGCAAACCAGGAGGTCACAAGCTCTCACTGGCAATTTAGAGACCAGCCTCAGAACACAGAGCCAGGGATCACCCCCTGCCCCCTGCCCTGGGCTCCACCTGGCCTGCTCCTTTTGGAGGTTCCCGTCCCTCCCTTCCCCTCTCCTGTCTTGCTCTCCCTTGCCTTTTTCACGCCTCTGCTGTTTTCCCGCCTTCCTGTTGCTACTGCTGACTGCTCTGTTCCATTTCAGTGATGAAAACAACTCTATACAGGTTTGGGGCGAGATCTCAGCCCCACGCCAGTGTTCACTAGAATCTTGGACCTGGGGGCTGGCGGGGAGAACTGTCCAGCAGTGAGCTGGAGAGGGGAGGGTCCTGGGGAGGACCAAGGGCTGGGCTCCAGGCTCTGCCAGGGAGTGGTGTGGAGGGGGAGCCCCTGGCCTGGGAGGCCATCAGTGTCTGGGGACTCAGCATGCCTGACCATTCCTACTGGTCCCCATTCCCCTCACCAGCTACTCACCTGAGACCACCCCTGGCCTGACTGGTTGTTTCTTTTTCCAAGGACTGTGTTCAAATGAGGCCAAGCTCCGCCGAACCCCAGTGACTCACCTCTCCAAGCCACTTCGGGGGCCACTGGTTCGCACAGCCCCAGCCCCACCTCCATGTCACAGATGAGTATTTTGGCAACTTCTTTCCAGAATAAAATCTTCCATCTTTCTGACCATGGATGAGGGGACTGGCTGGGTGCTCTCTGCAGAGAGTGGCCTTGCCTTCTCTACATGGGTGGGACTTGCTGGTCCCTTCTCTAGTGGCCACCAGGGCTCAGGCTCCCAGCGCCCTTGCCCACAGCCACCCAGGCTGAGTGTCAGCAGAGACTCGAAACAAACCTTCATCCTTTGCCAAATTACCACAGTGACCACATGCTTTGAGCTGCCTCAGCTGTATGGGGGCAGACCAAGGGTCTCAACAGGCCCAGGCTCATAGGATGAGGCCCTAACTCTCTGGCCCTTGCCCAAGAGGCCACACCTGCTGGGTACTGTCAGGGGCAGTGGGGGGCTCAGCTCTCATCCTTCTCCAATGCAGCCAGGGGAGCTGTGGCCCCAGCTCAGAAATGGCTCCTAAGGGCAGAGCAGGATTTTACCCACAGGCGCCTGGTGCCACGTGGTGTGCCACTGACAAGGCCTTGGCAAAAAGGAGAGCCACTACTGTCCTCCCCAGAACTCGGTCTTACCTACCCCCAAACAGCTGAGTTCTTTTAAGGCTCATTTGAAATATACATATTACCCAAGTATAAGCTGTGGCTACCAGCCCAGAGAGAAACCCTTTCCAACCGCAGGAGTTACAAACAACCTTGCACGAAGATGCCATCTTGGCCAAGCCCATCGGCCTCCCACCCAGGGAGGTAGATCCAAGTCAAAGACTCATCTGTCCTTGGCTGGGGAGCGATGCTGGGCAGAGCCCCTCTGAGACCTGCAGGGCGGCAGTCAGTGGGACAGTGTGGTTCTATGGGCTGGCTGCTGTGTGTTTTCAGACAGCCCTGGTGGGGCCACTGGAGAGACCCTGGGGACACCCAGCAGACCTGGGTGTGGCCTGGTGTCCAGGACTCTCGCAGCACAAGAAGCCCTTCTGTCTTTGCACTGGCCTTCTAAGTCAGAGGAGGAGCCTGCCCACAGCAGAAGACAGCTCAGTGTCTTGCTCATCTGCCAGGCCCTCCCCATGGAGCAGGGATGTTTATTTCTGCAGCTGCTCATGGTGAAAAGCAAGCTCCTGTTGAGTCCAGCAGATTCCAAGGCAGTACAGGGGCTAGCCAGCAGAGGTGGGCCAGGCTGTGTCCCAGCATGTGGTCAATACCAGCCACTTGTGGCCTTGAGGGAATTTGGGCCATACATTCCAGTTCCCCAGGATACGTCAAAAGGCAGGCTTATCACAATTTAAAAAGTTGGTAAATGCCTTACAACGTGTGCAGTACTGCACAGGCCACACCAGCACCTGGCAGGGCTGAGGGTTTGTGAGCCCTGAGATGTGCCCTCGCCCAAAGCAGACCCGAAGGCAGCAGCCACTGCTCATCACCCGCGTGCAGGCTTTGTTCCCACGTGCTGCCCTTCCTTTCTGGGAATCAAGGCATGAAGAGCCTGAAGCACGTTGTTTTTGAGCAGACTCATGGATAGCAACGATGGTTTTGATTTATTTCTTAATTTTTTGGTACCAGGGATTGAACCCAGAGGCTCTTTACCACTGAGTTACATCCCCAGCCCTTTTTATTTTTTGAGATGGGTCTTGCTAAGTTGCTAAGGCTGCCCTCGAACTTGTGATCCTCTTACCTCAGCCTCCAGAGGCACTGGGATTACAAGTGTGCACCACCACACCCAGCACAGTAGCGTACTTTTAGAGTGGAATTTTGGAGACTGTCGTAAGTCGTTTGGAGCACCAGCCCAGTGGCGAACAGGGCATGATCAGCTCAGATGCACTGGCCTTCTAAGTAACAAGGTGATTTTCCTGCTGTTCAGGAAGCTCCCAGTGCTGCTATGAAGCACAGCTGAGGGAGGCCTAGAATTTGGAGTCTGTCCTGAAACTTCAGCTCCTTAGCTTTTTAGCCATCTTCCTTTCGAACATGTGTTGTCGCTGGTCTGTTTTGCTTTTCAGCTTCAGGTTTGAATTAAGCTGCAGAAGGTCCCATGTTGTCACACTCGAGTTGTGAGGCATGTGGTGTCTTTGTGGGCCACCCTGCTAGTCCTGGACCACTCTTGCAGCCCCTCCCTTGTCTACAGGATGCTCAGGCCAGGGCCTGAAAGCATACCCGGCACAGCTTTGGCATCCATTGGGAAACAGATTCCCAGGCCCTGTTCCAGCCTACTCTGCCCAAAGACCCCTCCTTTCCTAGGACACTTAACTGTCAGTCAGTCTAGGCCTCTCCTCTGAAGCAGCTGCCTCAAGCATGACTGACAAGCACTCAGGGACCTTCTTGGTCTGCAGGTTTGGGAAGCAGGAGTCTGGTAGCTGTACCACGTGAGGGGCAGCTGCATCAGAATCCTCTAGGAGTGCTTTTATTTTTAGTAACAGCTTTGCTGGCATAACTGGCACACCATAAAGCTCACTTTTTTGAAGTGTAAAGTGAGTGGCATTAGTTTAGGCAGATGGATCACAGGTATCCACTGGGGTCTTCTCCCCAAATTCTGATACAGAAGGGCAGCCAGGTATGCAAACCGCAGGATTAGATAGGAGCCCTCCACTGGGGTGACTTCTCCGAAAGCAGGTATCAGTAGATATTTTTGATTGTCACAACTGGTGGAGCTACTGTTTCTAGGGTAGGCTTCTGGGATGCTACTTGATATCTCGATGTAGAGGACACCCATACTACAGGGGACAGCAGTCCAGTTCCCAATGTCAACAGTGCCAGCGTTGGAAAGGCCAGATCTACAGGAGCTTCCAAGTTCCTTCTGCCTTCAAAATGACTGAGACCTGCAGGCCCAGCCCACAGTGGCCCCAAGGGCAGACATGGGCTCCGAATGACACCCCAAACTCCAGCATTTAGTAAAGATATGTAGGGCATCTGACACTTTGGTGTTGCTTTTGGTACCAGAGGCTCTGAGCTGGGGACTGGGTGATGCTGTTAATCTGGGGCCCACTTTGGTCCCCTAGGGGCCATTGGTTACTTTTTAAAAATGCTACCCAGCATCCCACTGTGCAGAATCTAGACTGTGTGCTATCTTGTGCAGAGCTGACCCTTAGAACCACCCAGCAGTCTGCCCCTGGGAAGGGCCCATGCCCTTACCCACATGGCAGATGATCCAAAACACAAACTAACTCTGCAAAGCATTTCCCTACCACTTGTGGGGGACTGAGAATTTCTTCCATCCCAGAGTGGAAAAACTGCAGAGTGGACTCCCCTTCCCTCCTCCATACCCAGGTTTCCCAGGTGGACTGGGGCCAGTGGGCTGCCCTACTAGCTGTGCTGTGAGGCTGAACACAGAGGATCCAAGAAAAGTCCTATGTGAAGCCCAGGAAGAGGGAAGCAGTCATTAGTCCTGCTCACTCAAAACTGGGGGTCGAGATCTGTCCTAAGCAGGAAGAGGGGTGGTATTCTGGAATCACAAGCCAGAAAACTAACTTCATGGGAAAAGCCTTGGGTGGGTAGGAAGATTCCAGGACAGGTTGTGAACAAAGACAGTGATAGGCAGCAGTGTGGAGCTGGGTGAGACTGGAGTGGCCTGGACACTGCTAGGCATTCTTATCCAGAGCAAGCTGGCAGCAAAGCCTAGGGCACAAGGCAAGACCACAAAGCCTGGGGTGGTTTGGAATTTTCTTCTCTTCTGTTAAAATGGGGAAAGGAGATAGGAATCAGGTACCCCTGGGTTCTGGGGGAGGCATGCAGGCAGCCCCAGCAGGCAGGCGCTGGGGATAGTGGGAGGAGTCCTGGAGTTTCCCATAATCCTTTTCTCTGCAGGAAAGAGCAATGCTGGCTGACAAGGGGCTGGGGTGAGGCAAGGCCCTGAGGGGAAGGGTGGTGGGCAAGGGGCTTGGGGCTCACTCTAACATGCAAAGTCCAGCTGCCCCGTAATCTAGGTTGCTTTTTAAAGAGTGACAAACGTATAAATACAGACACAGCTACACAACGCACATGCGGAGAAGGCTCTGCATTCCCAAGTGTAGGGACCTAGGCCTGCCAGCCCCGCGGAGCGCCAAGTCAGGAGCTGGCCATGTCTCCACTGGGTGACTGCCTGGAGCACCCCTGGGCTGGGTCAGGGGAGGGTGGGTGAGTCCTCTTGGGAAGGCTTGTTGGTCTCCAAGGTGCCGTCCATCAGGTACCTAAGCCACTCTTGAGCCAAGTCCATGCGAGCTGGGGGCTGTGTGCCTGTGCTCCGTGAACTCGCATGAGTGCAGCTGTGCATGCTGGCACGACACACACCCGCCTGGGTAGAGTCCCATCACCCCCTCCAGGGCTCTGGGGCACAGGGGCGCAGACAGAGAAGGGGTCAAGGGGGCCCATGGAGACGTCCTCTCCCCCGCCCCACGGGGTCCTGGCCTCCGGGAGGGGGGAGGGGCCTCCCTTATCTCTCTGCCTCCATAGCAGGGTGGGCCCTGGGTTCTGAGGCAGCCTGTTGGGGGGCCAGGGGTGGCCAGTCTGAAGGCGGGGAAGGGGGTGCCGGAGTCCACAGGGGTGGCTGTGGCTGGTGGTGCTGTGGGCCTCCGGGGGGTGAGGCTGCAGTTGGCCAGCTGGGTGCTGCAAAGCTGCCCGTGGCGGCATGGGGGAGGTGTGGTGGGGGCGAGGTGGCTGTCATGGCCATTGGGCTCCCGCTGCTGCCTCCGTGGAAGCTCTCAGAAGCCTTGAGACGGGAGAACATGGTGAGGGCGTCAGGGAAGTTGGGGGGTGTGGCAGGGGTGTTGGCAGGAGTGCACATCTGTGGGGGAAGAAAGAAGAGAGGGAGAAATGAAGGCCCAGCTCCTGTCAGGAAGCTCCTGTGTCCCTTCCTAGGTGCAGCACCCCGACCTGACCCACCCCATGGACAGGCCTGTGCAGTAGATCCATACCACCAGGCATGGGGCCTGCTAGCTCAGGGGTCATGAAGCTTGCCCAGCACCCTTGATTGGCCTGGCATCCCTGAGAGGCTTCAGAGTGAGTAGCACCAACCTCCAAGGGCTGGCGTGCCCCAGGTCCCACTGAACCCAGGCTGCCCAGAGCCCTGTGCACAGCCCTCCTCTACTGCACGCCCCTGGTGGGATGCTCATATACTCAACCGGCTCAGCCTCCTCCTTCCCTGCGCAGGACTGAGAATCCCCAGCCTGGCCACCTTTGGGTCTCCAGGGGACACTTACCATCTGGTGATGGTGGTGGCTGTAGGGTATGTTGGTCTCCTGGAAAAAGGCGCTGAGGGCTGTCTGCAGGAAGAAAAGGCTGTGCTTATCCTCTAGGACCCTGCCCAGCCCCATGGCTGTTCCTGTTCCCAGGATCTTCTGGGGCTTTGTGTGATCCTGGCCTGACCTTCTATTAGGACAGGGTCAGTTGAAATGGCTAAGGACCAGCAGTGCACCTGTTACCACTCAATCCTTCCACTGCCCAAGGTGCCATGGAACCCAGGGCAGGTCAGGTGAGCAGTGTACATTCTAGCAACATTGCCTACCCCTGCCAAGTGCTTCCTGCTTGCAGAGGACCCTCCCTCACACACACATTCCTGACACTGTCGCTGGGCTTTGCCTTGTCTCCTGGGGAAAGGCTGCATGACCCTAACTAGCCCATACAGTCCCCAGTCTCTGATTCAGGAGATCCTGGCCTGGCTCTGTCACCACCTTTATGGGCGGTAAGTCCCTACTTTTCTCTGAGCCCATTTTCTCGTGTGGGAACTATGGAATCTCGAGGAAGGTGTTGAACCCTGGAGAGTGGAGATCTGCTTCTTGGCCCAGCTCCACCTCTGGCTGACCATGTGGCCCTGCCCCTATCTGGGCCTCAGCTGCTCCATCTATATCATAAGAGACTGGACTAGCTGGTACCCAGGTTCCCCTCCTGCAGCATGACTACCCAAGATCACTGGAACTTGATAGGAGCATGTGTTTTACACTTACTCACTTGTGCCTCCTAAGAAATGTCCTCAAAGTGGCCAGTAGGTGAACCCACCAAGGGACTGAGATAGCTCCCAGGACAAATGCACTCCCAGGCCACCTGTTGGTGCCTGGTATGGTACTCCACACGGTTATCACACCAAATACGGCCCCTCAGAGTATGGGTCCATCAAAATGGGGCACGTATCAACTCCAGAGACTGAGACTGGAATCAACCATTTTATTGAAAAGGAAACTGAGGATGAAGTGACCCATTCAGGGTCATTTGATTGGCAAAAAGCAGAGGTGCGGTCTGGGCCAGGACTGAGGCGCCAGGCAGTCTTTGGGACTGGATGAGGAGGGCAGTGGCAAAAGAGGTGGAAGCAACCCTTACAGGGACCAGCTCAGCTCCTCTGGAGGTCTGGTGTTCACCGTGTTCTGCCTCAGGATCCTGCGGGAAATCAAGGCACTGCTCTTGCTGTGCTGGGTGTCCCCTGTCAAGCATGTGAGGGGTCCTAGAAGCCCTGCTATGTCCCAAGCTGGGCCCTGGAGCCACTTCCACCCAGCCTAAGCTGCCCAATGCCAGCTTGACTTCCTGGCCCTCCTCTGCCCAACAGACCCAGAAACCCAGCCTTGCTCCCAGGGCTTGCCCTCAGGGGCTGCTGTTTCTTCTTCTTTTTTTTTTTTTTAAGAAAATTTAAATTATTCTAAGAATTTCCTGCTGGAGACACCCTACTCTGGGTTCCCAAACCCAGAGTATGTAGGAGCTCAGGCATGGAAGCTGGTCTCTAAGCACCTCTCCTGGTGCCAAGACCCTCTAGCAGCAGTGGCTGCTCCCCCCAGCCCAGGGGACATAGCCAACTCTGTCCTCCAAAGGCCACAGTGTGAGTCCTCCATTGAGAAACATCTGCCTAGCTAAACAGAGTCCCCCTCCCCCTGCAGCCTCTGCCCCCATTAGCACCTGAATCAAGAATGTGACCCAGAAACACTGCCTGGTCCTGTTGTATGCCATCAGTCAGGTGAGAGGCAGACATGGAGGAGGATGGGCTAACTATGAGGAGCCCTCACTCCTGGCCAGAGACTTGAGATTGGAGGTTCGCAGCCCACTGACTCCTTACCTAGTATCCCCCATTTTACAGATAGTGGAACAGACTCAGGGAGCCAAGGGCACAGGACTTCTATCCCTCAGCCCCTCTAGTCTGCAGGATGTCCTGCCCCTCTTCCCCAGACACTGCAATCTTCAGAACTACATTTTCAGCCCACCCTGTGCTATCTGAGGGATGCAGCCTGAGTGGCAGGCACAGAGGGATAAGCTGAGCATCCTGCACACAGGGCCCAGTTCCAACAGGACACCTGCCTGCCCAGCTCAGACAGGGTGGGAGCCCTGCAGGTAGACACGGGACTCCACAAACTGCCATGAATGTGGTTTTGCAAGTTTTGCCACATCCAGCCCTAGAGACATCAGGGCTGATTAGGGTTGTTGGAGAGGTGTGGAGTGTCCCCAAGGGACTAAAGGGAGGAGGGGGCAGATCTGGCCATTCAGGCATTAGAGGCTGACTCTCACTGCTCCCCTTAGAGACAGGTTTAGAAACTGAGGCTGCAGAGAGCAGCCTCCCCTCTCCTGAGGCCAGCACAGGAACAATGACCCAGAAGTCTCTTAGAGAAAGGAGGCAAGTAAAGAGAGAAAGGATTCATCTGGGTGGATGGGCCACTACCTTGACAGACTGTCCCAAGGTGGGGTCATTCTGATCCCCACTGCACCTGAAAGAAGCTGAGTGTCACTCTAGGGGTTCTTGGTTCTTCCTGGAAGCTCAAGCACCTTCCCCTAGGTGGCTCCCATAGGAAAACTGGTTCTTGGGCCATTGCCGGACAGACACTAGAATGGCTGAGGGACACAGCTCCAGGTTCTCTGGCCTCATCCTAGATGCCACCAAGGGGTGATTCAGGGGGCCGTTGAGTTGGGAGATCAGTTGGCCTCTTGGCAATACAAACAGCTGTGGGTGGGGGGCACTATTACCCTCCAGGTTAGCGGGAAAATGGGAGACTGGGAGTCAGACTGGGGTCTTCCTGCTAGCTGGCCTGAGATCCAGGGAACACACTGTCCCCGGAGAGACCGCCCAGGTAGAGTTCCCTTGCCAGCACCAAGGGCATCTGGACCCCCACGCAGCGACCGCCCACCGGCACACCTCTGCAACGGGGGACACAGATACACATCCCCACGCTATAGTGTGGGGCTCCAGCACACCGCAATGCACGCCGTGCTGGGCCCATCTGCCACCAGCCGCAAGCGTACACAGTGGGCACACGGCACACGCGCTCAGACACAGCTGCAGCCGACGGGACGCGCGCCGGCACAGCGCCCACAAGCCCACAACCTTCGAGGTGCCCCGCTGACAGCCCCGCTGACGCCGAGGCGCGGTGCGTGCGTAAACACGGATGCACATGTACGTGTACGCACCCGTCTCCAGGCTGCCCACCGGGCACACCGACCCTCGGCCGGCCGCCCGCTCGCTCCGGACGGCTCCGCCCTACGGCCCGCTCGGCCAGGCCCGGGGCGTCCTCCTTCCGGTCACCCGCCCGGGCCCCGCCCTCGGCCGTTACCCGGACAAAGGGGGGGGTCCCCGTCCGGCCGCCGGCGGCGAGGCCCGGCCGGGGCCGGACCCTCGGGGAAGCCGCGGCGCAGTCTGGCGAGCGCACTCCGGCACGTGTCCGCCCGCGCCGCCCCGCGCACCTCGAACTGCCAGTGGGCCGCCTGCAGCAGCTGCTTCGCCTGGTCGGCCGCGCAGCCCGCCGTCAGCACGAACTGGTTGATCATGACCTGGTGCTTGAGCTCGTCCATGTTCACGGACATGGCGCCGCCGCGCTGCCCGCTCCGGCCTCTGCGCCGCTCGCGCCTCCGCCTCACGCGTCCACCATTAGCGAGCCGGCTCGGCTAATACAAATATTTACCGTGCGCTCTGACTCACCGCCTCGCGGCCGGCGGGGCATGCTGGGACCTGTAGTCCGCGCCGCCCCCGCCGCCAGTCGGGCCGCCGGGCCGGGGCGGGCGCGTGGACGCCGAGCGCCTACGGTGCGCACGCCCGCGCCCCGCTGGGGGCGGGATGCAGGGTCGGGGGACTAGGTCCCAGGTGTGTGCGGGGGCGCGGAGGCCCACCACGGGGCTCGGGCACCTCGCTGTGGCTCATGTGCCCGTGTTAGGGGGGCTCAGGGGCAGAATTCACTGTATTAGGCTGCAAGGCCCCGAAAACTGGTACACAACAAACATCATTCGGTTAGCCAGTCTGCCCTGCGAGACTCTGCTTGAAGTCGCCGCCTCCAGGAAGCCTTCCGAGGTTCGCAGCACACTCCCGCACCGCCCTCCGCAGCCTGGCTTTCGGCTCGCCACACTCGAGGAACACCTAGGGAAGTGACGGCGCCCATTAGAGGCTGGCGAGGGCGACGTCCCCTGTCCCCTGTCGCTTCGGGGTCCCCATCCCTGCTGTATCCGCTTTCCCACTCATAAACCTGATCCTCAGTGCAAAGACGTACGGGCGCCAGGACCACGCGGAGACAGTTCCGGAGTGGCCTGGGACTTCCATTCCCATAATGCTCCGGTTTATTTGCATCTTTCCGTCCTGAGTAACGTCAGCTGAGTGAGGCCTCGCCTCTACCAATAGACCGCCGTCGGGTGTTAGGACCTGGCCATATAAGGTAAACAAAGCTGGCCACCCAATGAGGCGGCGGCGGGGGCGGGCGGGGTGCGTCACGTGGCCGTGGGGCGGGGCTAGAAGCGGGGGTGGGGCGTTGCGGGCTGTGTTTACAGCTCCTCACATGGCGCTTCCGGTCGCCGGTGGGAGAGCCCGCTGCGCCGGCTCTGGGCTGTCAGGGTCGCGGGCGGTGAGAGGCTGCGGCCGAGGTCTTTCTCCGTCACCTCGCTCCGAGTGACCTTGGCTCGGTTCCTTGGGCTCCCTGGCCCCACTTTATTTTCTTGAGCCACTGTTTGCCGGGCCCTTGAGAACCAGAGCTCCAGGAGAGCCAAACCAGACGGACGGCTAGCGGGGAGGGGAGCCTAGGTTCAAAGTTCAAGTCTCGCGGACAAGAGCATCACTGCTAGTATGGAGAGTCCCTAAGGAGGCAAGCACAGGCCCTGGGTGTGGGCTAAGGGCCACTGATCTGATCCCTTGTTCAGAATTAGGAACACTGTGGTTGTGACAGTATGGGGACCAAAGGTGGCTGAGAGGTTCAGTCCCAATTAGACGATTTCTGGGAAATGGAGGACCAGCCTGCAGTATTCTTGGGGAGCCTTACTTGGAGGACTGGTGGACAGGGCCTGAAAGGGGAAGGGAAGTGGGTGAGGGCTGGTGCATCAGGATAGCTCAGAGGGCTGGGGAGGGAAATGAGTCAGACTTCTGAGGGCTGGAGCTAGGAGCTTGGCCCATGGGGAGGGAGAGGACACTTAATGTCCCCCTTCCCTATACAAACACCTTAGTCCTGGCAGAACTATCTGTCCACAGGAAATGGGGTTTTGGCATCTTTTCTGCTATGTAGGGATCACTCAGGGACCATCGGTTTTTGCAAACCCTGATGGTGCCAGGATATTTTTGCTCTTGCTGAGAATTGCCCTTTAGCCCTGTGAAACATCATATTCATGAATTAATGTGGGCAAAGCACTTAGCACAGGGTAGGCACACAGTAAGAGGCAGCTTTGAGTGTTGATTCCTACTACCACTGTTGCCATGGGGACTGCAACAGAGTATGGTGGAAGGTGGGTGGGTTAGGGAGCCAGACAGCTGGATATCAGTCCTGAGGCGCTGCCTACTCTGGCTTCTGGTTCCTCTTTTGTAAAGCTCTGAGTTCTCCCACTTCTGTTATAGGGGATTCATGCTGTGGGGCTCAGCGCAGGGCTTGGCTATGGGAGTTCTGGCACTCACCTCTTTGCCTCTATCTAGATCACTCTGGGGAGCTCAAGCCCATTTTGTAGATTGGGAAACTGCGACTGGAATCTAGCCTACACTGTGGCATTCAGAACCAGGGGAGAAGAGTGGGCCCCCAGTGGACCAGCAGGCTGTATTTCTGACAAAGGAGAATGGACACCATCTTGGCAGGGCCCACTGGGGTCCTTGCTCAGGGAAGCAGGCCAGGCTTCCCCAGCCCAGAGGAGCTCTCCCAGGGCATCCTCCTTGTAGGGGTTGATCTGATGAAGCTGATTAGGGTGAAGGTCACCCTAATGGCCACTATGTTCCACCTCAGCCAGCTTTTTTTCCCCAGGGGTAGCAAAGAAGGAGAAAACAACCCTGTTTTCAGCCAGGATCACCTGCTGGAGGGTGGACTTTGGATTTCTTAGCAGGCTGGGATAGGACCTGACAGCTGGGGCCAGGAGATGGGGGGAGGCGGAGAGAAGCCATTGCAGCACCACCCTTACCTTACCTGAGGGCCAAGGAGGTTGAGGACCTTGCCAGCATTCACAAGTTCACATGGCCAGTTAATGGAGGTATGTTTTCCTTACTAGCTTGCAGACTCCATGTCTAGCATGATCTAATATTTGATCCCTGTCACCTGGTTCATCACCTGACATATAGTAGCTGCAATGATAAATATTTGTTGAATAAATAAATGAGTCACCCAAGATGTTGATAGTGGAGCTTGGACCAAATCAGGAAGGACCTGTTTCCCTGCTGGGTGTGAGAAAGCACGGAAAAATATTGCTGAAGGGGCCATCTTGAGTCCAAAGCTCTGAGAATGTTTAAGAAAGTCCAGCTGGCCGGGCTTGGTGCACATACCTGTAATCCCGGAGATTTGGGAGGCTGAGGCACAAAGATCACTTTTTTTTTTTTTAAGTACTGGGAATTGAACCAGGGGCTCTTTACCACTGCCCAGCCCTTTTTATTTTTTTATTTTGAGACTGTCTCACCAAATTGCTAAAGGCCTTGCTAAGTTGCTGAGGCTGTCCTTGATCTTTCAAGATGATCCTAAATTTGAGGCCAGCCTGGTAACTAGTGCAACCCTGTCTCAAAATAAAAAAAAGGGCTGGGATGTAGCTCAGTGAAGTGTCCCTGCGCTTAATTCCTAATACAAGAAAAAAAGAAAAGAAAAAAAAAAAGCCATCCAGACAGTGAAAGGCCTACCATGGTGTGCTCTTAGAGCTGTTTTTCAGTGGAAACAGTAGGGTCTTAGGGACTCCCTCCCTCCCTTTCTGCAACCAGGTAGGGCAATAAATTAAGTGCATAGCTGATATATGTGTGTGTGCCTGTATAAGTGTGTTATGTGATTCAGTGGAAATAAAATAAGGGAAGAAAGACCAAACTAGGTGGGAATGTCTTCAGGCTCATCCTTCAGGGACAAGAAGTTTGAAATCTGCACACTGGAGAATTACTATCTGGGAAAGCAGGAGAGTGCCAAGGTAAGGGCAAATTCCAGCTTTATCACTTACTTACTGTGCAACCAGAATAGGGCACTTCTCCAAGCCTCCTGTTTCTGTTCTGTAAATTGGGAATAAAAATAGAATTTATGCTGATCATGCTGGCACATGCCTGTAATCCCGGCGGCCCAGGAGGCTGAGACAGGGGAATCGCAAGTTCAAAGGCAGCCTCAGCACAAGTGAGGAGCTAAGCAACTCAGTGAGACCCTGTCTCTGAATACAAAAAATGGATGGGTATGTGGTTCAGTGGTTGAGTACTTCTGAGTTCAATCCCCAATAGAAAAAAAAAAGTAATAATAAAAATAAAAAGGGTTGGGATGTAGCTCAATGGTTAACACTCCTGGATTTAATCCCTGGTACAAAAAAAAAAAAAAAAAGGTTGGGTTTGTAGCTCAGTGTTAGAGCACCCATGGGTTTAATCCCCAATACTGCCACCAGACAAAAGAAAGAAAATAGAACTGACATCAGAGAATTAAAAGAGCGAATATGCATAAAGCCCCCAGTATGATGCCTGGCACAGATTAAGTGTTCAGTAAATGTGCATCTTGTTTGTAAATAGGAAGACTTAATCAGGCAGCCCCCAAAACCTGAACTTTTCTAGTCATTAATTTGACTTTGCAAGAAACCCCTGATAGTAAGGATCATTGGATGGTGGATTCTGGTCCCTGGGAAGGTATAGGATATTTAAATTTTTAAAAACATTTTTTCAGGGGGCTGGGGTTGTGGCTCAGTGGTAGAGAGCCCAACTCTCCTAGCACATGCTAGGCAAGTGCTCTACCACTGAACCACAACCCCAGCCCTACTTTGTATTTTATTTAGAGACAGGGTCTCACTGAGTTGCTTAGTGCTTTGCCATTGCTGAGACTGGCTTTGAACCCCAGATCCTCTTGCCTCTGGGATTATAGATGTGCGCTTCCGTTTTAATGTGTGTTTAATTCACTATGGTGAGTTGTACCAGGTGGGACCTTTCCTGCCCTGAGCCTTCCTAGCTATGCTTTTGGCGCAGCAGGCTTGATTTGGGAAACATTTCTTGGAACCCCAGTTCCTCAAGTGAAAAATAGGTAAAAATGAAGCTCTCGTGGCCTCCTTCAGACGTGTGAAGTCAAAAGCCAAGAAAACCCTTGCAAACTGCCAGGTTTCAATCTTGACCCTGATTCTTGGAAACTTGCTTTCAGCACATTATATGCAGCTCTTCTTCCTTCCTGCCTCAGTGTAAAATGGAGAGGTCTACTACCTTCCTTAGGGCTGCGTATCTTCAATGCAGTCGTTCTAAATTGAGCGAGCAGCATGTCCCTTAAGCCCCAGCTACTTGGGAGGCTGAGGCAGGAGGCTCAGTGGAGCCCAGAAGTTCAATCCAACCTGGTTTACAAAAAAAAAAAAAAGAGTACTCATTCTGGAGCTGAGGTTGGAGGAATGCTTTGCGTTCTGGCCAAGGCCTGAGCAGGTGCGCATTTCCCCAGTGAGCACCAACCACCCAGGTAGGCTCGGGGGCCCCCAGGCTTTCTAGGCAGAGGCGGGAGAACCCTGGGCAGTGCAGAAAAGCAAGGGGTGCCCAGGCGACGATGAGACTGCGGGCAGAGAGAGGCGCGAGGTCCCCGGGCCTGCACCTGAGGCCTCTACCCCTGCGGGCGGGAGGGGGCGGTGCGTCCCGGCGGACGGGCGGGGCCGGCGGCGAGCGCGCAGGCGCGGGGCCACACGTCCCTGGCGGGGCGGGCGCGAGGCGGCGGCGGGGACGCGCGTCCGTGCGGCCTGGTCCGGGCCATGTCCGCGTGAGCAGGACACCGCCGCCGCGGCCCGCCGAGCCGCCTCGCGCACCATGGGCTCCATTCTGAGCCGCCGCATCGCGGGGGTGGAGGACATCGACATCCAGGCCAACTCGGCCTACCGCTACCCCCCGAAGTCCGGTGAGCGCCGGGCGGGCGCGGAGGGAGGGGACGCCGCGAGCGCCGGGCGGCCCTTCCCGGCTGGTGACCTTGGGCCGGCCCCTCGCGCGGCGCCCCCTTCTTGGTGGCTCGCCCCCCGCGGCCGGCCTCGCCGTCCTGGAGGCTTGGTGCGAGGCCGGGGGTGGGCGCCGCGCTCCTGGCGGGTGGATGGCGGCTCTGGCGCGGCCGGGAAGGCGAAGCTGAGGAGAGGCAGGGCTGTAGGCCGAGCTGGAGAGCTGCGGAATGGCAGGGGGCGAGGGGACAGGGACTGCCTGACTTGTGGCTTAGGGACCTGAGCCACCAGGTGGAAGTGACTTTCCCAAGGACTCAGCGCCGGGAGGCACCGCTGGGACCAGGACCTGAGAAACCCTGTTCCCAGAGTGTGGCCCCCCTGAACTTTGAGCTCCAGTTCCTGGCTCTCCATCTCCTGTGGGGTGGTTTGCGGTGGAAAGGAGAGAATCCCGACCGTATGGGATATCCAGTGGGGCCCTCAGATGCTGCCTTCTGAGCAACCTGTCTAATGTGGGCTCTGTGTCTTGGGACCCCCACAGGCCAGATTTCCTTTGAGTGTGGTCCAGGACCACCTGCTCCCTCAAGTAGGGCATCTTGCTAAACATCCAAGGCTCCACTTCTGATCTGCTGAGACCTAGGAACCTGCCTTTTAAACCCATTCCCCGGGTGAGTCAGATGTCCTATCAAGTTTGAGAAAGTGCCTTGCCCTGGTTGAAAGAAGGTGAGGGTCAGTGGCTCTGGGAACACAAGGGCAGGAACTGGTCCAGCCTCCAGGTAGCCTTATGGGATGGAGTCAGCTGGTAACCTGCTGTTGCCTATTTGCAGGGAGAACTCCCTGCCTGCTGTGTCCCAGGCACAGCAGCAGAGCAGCCTGGACTGGTGTGGGTTGCAAGTCCTGGCATTTCCCTTGTAAGACTCTATGTGTGTTCTTTCTGTCTGTCTGTGGCTGAGTGACCTTGGTCAAGCTGCTTAACCCCCTGTTTCCTTTTCCTCATCTGTAAAATGGGCTGGTAACTTGTACCATGTTCAGAAGTCTTGCCTGGCACATTAGAAATCTTCAGCAAATGTTAGTTGGTAAAACTAACATTTGAAAAGGAAACTAGGTGATTGGCCCAGACCCTAATAGATTTAGCAGTGGCATGACAGATGTCAGAAAGTTTACTGTGGCACATCCCATCACCTGGGACCTGACCACTGTTAATGTCCCATTGGACAAGACAACAAATATGTGGCACTTAGAGCACCACTTTCTGATTCCACTGTGGCAGATGTTGCCAATCATTCATGACATTCCTTTCCACTGAGCCTGGACTGGTTTCAGAATCCATCACAGAACACCCCGCCAGCTGCCACTGATTGATTGGTGCTGGCACTGCAGGTGAAACCCATGGGCCACCTGGGCCTTGTAGCCATCAATAGCAGAGTTCTGGGGTTGCCCAGTCCAAAGGCTGTCCTGTCTGGCTAATGTTTTTTCCCTTTCTGTTCCTAATTCTTCTAGGTGCCTTACACACACGTTGTTCATCTGTCTTGGGGACATCAGGATCCTGGTCCTGTGTCTGGGGGTTTACTTGCTTCCCAGGTTCTTGAGAACCCGACAAGGTTGGGGAGAGTCACTGGAAAAAAGAAGGGACCTTATCAGTACTTCATTATTGCCCTGAGGGTGGATTGGGGACTGTAGAGAGTTTGGAGAGGGGTGCCCCTGTGGACTGTTCTGAGAAAATTGTCTTTTCAGGTCTGTCAGTTTTGATGAGGTCAAGAAGAATCATTGGGTGCTAGTGTGTTTTTAAGTCCTTGCTAACCACATCCAGTTTTCTTCCTTCATGGAACTTGCACCATGCTCTGGGATAGCTCTTAGCTTGAATTGAACAACATTTGGTTTGTTTTTATTGTGTTTCACTCTTAACAGTTTTATTGAGGTACAGTTTGTGTACCTTGCAGCTCATCCATTTTAAGAGAGTGACTGACGTGTAGCATCAGAGCTGTAGGTGTGTGGAGTCCTGCACCCACCACCACAGTTCAGACATCTCCACTCCCAGGTGTTTCTTTGTACTTGCTTGTGGTTAGTTTCTGCCCTCTGCTCCCACTCCAGCCCATGGCTGATCTGCTTTGTCTTTAAAATTTCCTGGACATCTCACATGAACAGAATCATGCAGCACAAGGGCTTCTTTCCGTGTGTCTGGCTTCTTAGCATAATGTTTTTGAGATTCATCCGTGTTGCAGCATGCATCTATACCTCTGTGTGGTGATGGTGTGTTTGTTCACTGATTAATGGACATTTGATTTGTTTCCTTTTTTTTGGGCTGTTAGAATCAGTGCTGCTTCAACGTTCACATACAGTTGATATGAGCACTTGTGTGTTCATTTCTCCTAACTGTAGGCCTAAACATGGAGTTATTGGGTCATATGGGAGCTATATGTTTAACCTTTTGAGAACCTCCTAACCGTTTCCCAAAGTGGCTGCACTGTTTTGTATTTTTTCCTACCAGCAGCGTGTGAGGCAGCCAGTTTGTCCCCATCCTCGACAGTGCTTGTCCACCGCTCCGATTTCAGCCAACTTGGATGGGAAGTGAGACCCCACTGTGCTGGGGATTCGCATTTCCCTGGTCACTGGTGATGTTAAGCATCTTTTTGTGTGCTTAGTGGCCATTGTATTTGTGTTTGTGTGTATGTGTGTGTGTGTGTGTGTGTGAGAGAGAGAGAGAGAGAGAGAGCTATTTAAATCTTTTGTTTAGTTTTTAAAAATTGGATTATCTTCTTATTGAGTTTTCTAGGTATTCTGATACAGTTCCTTTGCCAATCATATGATTTGCAAATATTTTACTATAGTCTGGTTTGTTGTTTGAAGAGCAAATGTTCTTAGCTTTGATGAAGTTCAGTTTCTCATCTTTTAAATGAATAGTGCTTTTAGAGTTATATTGAAGAAATATTTGCCTTGCCCAAGTCATAACCTAGCTTTTACTGACCCTGGGTTCAGTCCCCAGTACTGCCAGAGAGAAAAGCCATGGTTTGAGGGATGGTCAAGGCCATGTTTCACGTGTGGGACTCAGTTGCTTCACTACTGTGTGTTGTGAAGATGATCCTCTTCCCGTCAAGCTGCCTTCACACCTTTGTCAAAACTCAGTTATCACAGATGTGACAGGGCTTGTCCTGGCTCTCCACTCTGTGCTTTTGGCTCACGTGTCCATCCCAGTGCTTCCCCTCTGGCACAGCTTTGCCTCTCAGGGCATTGGACCATGTCTCGGAGAGACACATTTTGTCACAGCTAGGGACAAGTGTCGGTGCTGCTGGCATGGTGGGCAGAGGCCACAGGTCAGTCCCAGTGCTGAGGCTGGGAAACCCTGGTCTGGCACACCGCAGCACCTGCTGTCACCTGGCTTGCTGAGCCCGAGTTCTCCAGCTTTCTTCTCCGCACTTGTCCTGGGGGTGCTCAGGTCCTGGATTCCTGTACAAGTTTTGCAGGTAGCTTATCAATTTCTACAAAGACAGTCTGCTGAATTTTGATAGGGATCACAGGATCACATCGAAAGTACAGATTGATGTTGGAGAGTTGCCATCTTTACCATGCTGATTCTGCGTCCGTGGACGTGGCCTGTCTGTGTTTATGGTGTGTCAGTATTTATCTGGATCTCTTACTTTTTTATTATACTTTTTTTTTTTTAAAGGCACAAGTAGAGATTTATTTAGGAAGGCAAGGATCATGTGCTCCATGGGAAGAGTTGGGCTCTAGACAGTGAGGAGCTGAGGCAACTTTTTAAAGGCTAGCAGCACTGGTGTCCCCAGTCTACAGGTGTTATAAAGTCCCTTTCATACATTTATTTAATTAATAGTTGGTTTTGATGAGAATATTAAAGACAATTAATGTATTAAGGTAATGGTACAGTCCTTGCACTCTGGGGAACTTGTTCTTGTCATATGCCTCTGATTGTTGGTGAGGACCCTGAAGTTCAGAGGTGACGGTGACTCACAGTGGGGTCAAGGTGGAACCAGATTTAAGGCCAGGCCCCCTGACTCCCAGCCTGATTCTGCCCACTTGCCTCCCTGTCCTGCCTGATAGGGACCTGGTGGCTACAAGGGACTACCCTGAGTTACTGCAGCTCTCTGTAAGCTGTGTCTGATGTGGCACTTTGTGCAGTGACCAGGCCGGGCCAGGGGACTCATGAGCTTGCTGAAGGGACTTCTGCGGGGCAGAGAGAGCAGGGTGAGGGGACCAGGACCTTCTGCAGGGCCAGGACTGCTGTGTCCCAGGCAAGCCCGGGAGAGGCAGAGTAGGCACTTGCCTGGGCTTTTGCACTTGTTGGAGTGGAAGGTGTGGGGGCTTTGGGAACTGGGCACCTGCCTGCAGCACAGACTCCCCACTGACGTTGAGCCCCAGTGCTGTGGTCGGTGATCTGTGGTCATGGCGGTAACAGCAACCGTGAGGGCTTTGCTTGGAGGCCTGTGTTGTCCGTGCAAGGCTGGCCCTGTTTTCACATTGTGTGTGTGGAGTCTGAAGTATAGACAGGCACTGCCCCTGGCTGGTCACCCAGCGAGGTACAGAGCAGGTGTGAGGGCACCACAGCCAAATCCTTAAAGAAATGACGGTGTCCAGCATGCAGAGTGATGCCAACTGTCTGCCCTGCTGCTTGAGCACCACTCTGGGACCAGGTCACCCAAAGAAGTGGTGGAGGAGGGGTGCTCAGACCTGTGGCCCCCATGCTGGGCGGGGGTGTTGGTGCTCTGTTCCTTTTGTGGCTGGGTGGTATTTGGCTGCCTGCATTGTTTATCATCTGTCTGAGGACATGGGATAGTTTCTGGGACAGACTTTCTCCATGCACCCAGAGAACTTGCTGTGGCTTCACTTTTCCCTATTTTGTAAAAGAGGCCAATTCCCAGTGTCCCTCTGCCTAGGTGTCCAGTTCCCAGTGTCCTTGTCTGGGCTGGGGCTCTCTGCAGCTCTGTGCTCATGGGGCCTCTGTAAGAGGCAGAAGACA